GAGAGAGAGAGAGAGAGACTTCCAAATTATCGTTTCTACCTTTATGGAAAACTAAAATATCTCTCTTATTACGAGATAGATCTTCAAATTAGAAAAAGAAATTACTAAAAGATTACTCCTTAGAAAACGTCAATTTATTAGCGAATTTATTTACAAACGTGATACCACTCGTGCAGACAATTTAATTCCCATTATTATGAAATTTTATCGTCATTACAAGAGCGGAGAGCGATACGAGAGATTTCACTATTCATTATTACTTTATTGCCGCAAATCCGTCGCTGATAGTGCCATGGTGGTTTACGATATCACGAGATCACTGACTTTTAATGCATTCGTTTGCCCTCACGGGTTTTAATTGAAATCAATTGATCCGCTAATTCTCTATATATATCTACATTGTGATCTGGTTTTATCGGTTGCTTTCAATCGTATTACGCAGCTCGATCGGGTTTACTGTTTCAAAGTCGACTATCAAAGTTTCCGCGCGCCTTTGTCGGCAGCGATGCATGTTTATGAATTACCATGTATAAGCCCTGCGGGTATGCATATAATATGTCACTATATTTCTCTTTGAAATTAATATTAACGAGACTTCAAAGTGATTAATGGCGAACCGTTGTCGCGAGACGGATTTGTCACGTCGAATTTTACGTTAAAATTTCCATCGGCACGCGATATCCGTATAAAAACAACTCTATAAAGCGTGGAGGTATTTTACCAGATCCTTCAAGAGAACTTCGTTACACATTTTGAGAGTTTTTCGCGTCTTAGTAAAAGTAACGTGATTTTCGTGGAAAGTCTGGACTTTAAAGTGTGTAATCACGAACGTGCACGACTGTTCATATCGATAATTTAATTAGCGTTACGAAAGGAATTGCGGTTTGCCAGCTAGTGCATATTCTCTGCGTACTTTAATAAACGTTATCTGAGATAAAAAAAATTAGGGCCGTATTTATAATTGCGTTTCTTTAATAAAGTATTTGATTGAAAATGATCCTAGAGAATAGTAATACATAAGTAATAGATAAGTAATTAACAAATCCATCTTGAAAATAAATTTAATTATTTGTAATTGCGAATTTATAATCGCGATTTGAGTGAGAAACTTAAGTAAAAAGAAACTTATGCTAATAGAGTCTAAATTTTTATTTCTAATTTAATAGTCGATTTCAAAAAGAGATATGATTGGATAAGAGATTATGTTTAAATAACTCTAATAGTTTAAATATATTCAGCTAAAAAGCTGCGCAATTATTCACATAGACAAAATAATTTGAATTCAACATTAATATCAAGTTTACAATTGAAAATTATAGAAAATTATCCTTTATTTAAATTTTTTATTTAATAGTGATATTTTTGCATTGCATACCAATTAGTAAGTGATTTATGATCCTTTAAAATTAAGTTTTTATAACAGCATATATGCAATTTAATATAATAAAAACAATCTATTAGAAGAATTAAATTTATCTTTATTTTAATCAAAATGTATTTATGAAAATTATATAATTTGACGTTATCTTTCTCTAATTTTTACGTTTCAACAATAAAATTGTACGATTTTAATAAATTAATAAAAAGGTATGAAATTAAATTATCATTTTTGCAATAATTTAAATCATCAAATTTAAATTATTATTAAAATCATAATCATAATTTTTTATATATTAAATTTTTATAATTTCATTTTTTTGAAAATATGGATAAAAAAGTAATAATGATAAATTAATTTATCATTATTTGTATACGAACAATTATAAAAAATTGTTCTAATGTAAATTAAATAAAATGTTAATTAAAGTCTTTATTATTTTACTAAATAATGTAAAAATGTATTATTAAAACTCTGATTAATATTAAAACTCTAATTATTATTTTAAAATTCTATTGTTAAAATCCTAGAGCTATTATTATAAAGATATATAATATATTAAAAATAGAAGATTTAGTGTTTAATTATTTATGAAAATGAAAATTATTGATTGTTTCTAGCATTTATGATTATTATCAATAATAATACACTAATTCTATTTAAGTGTAACATAAAAGGATGCATTTTTATTAATGTAATGACATTTAATTAATTTGACGAAGAATTTTATATATGAGATTTTTTCATAAAGATTGTATTGATTTATGAATATATTAGAATTTAGCATAAAGTGTATTTATTTGTTTCTTAATCCTCCTATTTATCAAAAATTGTCCCGTTTATATTCAACTTTTAAATAACATAATTATATTCCTGGCTTACATTTAATCTGTTTATATGTCTTTTAATATTTATTTTATAAATTAAAAATTTTATTATGTAAATCTATTCTCACAAATATAATTAGACTTTTATCTAAGAGAAATTTATTTTTTAAACACTTAAAAAAAATTTAATCGATTAAGTGGAGAAAATTGTAATAAAAATATATACCAGAAGAGTAATGGTATATTACTCCATTATATTACTCTGATTAGAGAAATTCATATTTCATTGCGTGATATAATAATTTATTAATAAATCCTGTAATTTGATGTATAAATATTAAAATTCAGGTTGATTTATAGTTCTATATTCATAAATGAAACTTGCGTTAGTAAAATTGATTACTGCCATTATGATAAGCAATTGTTCAAAATATTGCTTAAATATTATTAATAGAACAAATTATTTATTTGTTTAAACTGAATCAGTGAAAAATTCTGTAATTAGGATGTAACAACAAAGATTTTTGTAAGTACGTAACTTATTTGATACAATACGTAAATATTTTTACACAATATGGTTGTATGTTTAAAATTCACGAGAAGATTGAGTCCCAAAAATGATTACAGAAATGCATGTAAAAAGAATCAATTTTGTGATTCGCGTTTCCATTATTTTATAACAGAAAATAATAATAAACGCAATAGTATTTTCTCTTCTTACCATTACTCATTTCAATTTATGCTTTTAATATGTGTATGTACAATTATCTTTTTCTATTTTTCTCGTTCATATTTTTTTTATGTCAAAATATGATATATTATATCATCGTTCATGTAACGTAACGATCTGTCTCACTATTAACTATGACGCATTTTGTCGATTTAAACTGAATTCTTCGTATATTCCAGTGATGTGACGTAATTTTAACTATCGAATATCGTCCATCTCAAAAACTGAGAAATTATGTTTATTTTGTTTCTTCTAAACTAAAATGGCAAAAATAATTCTTTTTGTATCACCCTTTTCTATCACAAAATGTGCAAGACATTTGCAGTTTTTGCATAAATCTTTGCAAAGGGATACAAAAAGAATTAACAAAATAACATGCATTATTAATAAATATCAAATTTTTCACTTTTTTTAAAGAACTGATATTTCCAAATAGATAGTTTGTACTTTTTATGTCTGAGGTATACTTGTGAATCGCGAATAAATCAAAATAATAATATTACTTGAAAATTTCAAGTTGATATAATTTATAATTCTTAAAATATTAATGCAAAAGGTTTTGAGAAAAATATATTTAAAGTTTTGGTACAATTTTTTGGTACAACCATTATTGTATCCACAGTATTTAAAAATTAATTATATTTCAGAAGTAGGTTTTTAAATTTATATTTTTTTAGTATTCTTAATAATGTGTCAGAAATTTAAATGTATGAGTGTGTTATCTTCATTTAAGATATATACATATAAAATATGTATTTGTAAACAAACAAATATTATTTCCTCAAATGATAACAACAAAAGAACATAAATACGTTTAAAATTTACAATTAGATAACAAAATGAAATTTGGTAGCGTTTATTTTGTACCCATGTCCCGTCGCTCAATATTATCAACTATGATTTTTGTAATTTTTAAAATTTCAATGTATATTTTATAATTAGACGTAGAGATTCTTTCAATATTTATAAAAAATGCCATAAAAATTGATTTTTTTAACTTTACAATTTTCTTAAAGAAATATTGTATCTGACATGAACGTATATATAAAATTAGCAATTAACTTACGCACTAATGAATATTATTTATACTGATTTTCATATATAGCGTGGATTTTATCTTAATTTTTACGTCACAATAGGTACAGATTGATATATCAATTAAAGCAATGTGTAAAATGACATGCGATGATAAAATAACATTCTCGAATAATCGAAGCGTGACAAACTCCTAATAAATAACACTTTCATAGCATCAAATTTCGCGTACGTATAAATAATTGTTTCGCTTTTCGTCTATGTGTTTTCATTTTATCTCTAACAAAAATATGGCACGCCCATGTTTTAAAATATAAAGCCGTTATTCTATGCATCTTGGTTGATATTTGAGGTAAAATTTATGAGTACGCGGTTATAAATACGGGCTTTAAAGTTTCGTTACGTAGCCGTCACACCCGACGAAAGATTAAAGTAAGCGTTGCATAATATGAGGATGCATTGTAACTCAAAAGAAGCCGCGTACATCGCGCTTGTCAGGAGCAATTACAAGGAGAAGGTGACGTTATAGTTTGCGTTGCTAACGTCGCTTGTAGAATACCGCTCGGAAACTGCAAAAGAGGATTATAACTTCCGCCAGATTACATGTAACGCGCCCGTTCGGATAAAATATTGGCTTGATATTGAGCACGTTGCACATGGTGCATTACGATTGCATCGCAGTTAGCAAGTTGTTGAGCACAAGTACGAAAATCTTGCGCTATCGCGAACGACCTTGCACATAGACGTGAAATAAGCAAATATGAAATATGCATAAATAGGCGATAAAATAACAAAGAGAGATAGATTATCCCGTCTTCTTCTCGTCAGATTCTTAACTTCGAAACCTCGTAATTGTCGATTTAAATTTAGTATGTAATGTTAATGTCGTTGAACGAAGTCAATGGAACGGAAAAAGAGAGAGTTATGTTATTTTGAGAAAATTGGAATGGAATATAGACGATAATTGAAGGACGTGCTAGAAGCGAGAAAATCGAAAAGCGAGCAACGTTGAAATGTTTCACATCAAAGGCTCTCTCGCAGGCCGAGAAGTAATTTGAAAGGAGTGTACTTACAACCATCTGATATATCGCGTCGACTATATTGTACATCTCGTCCCTCGTGATGAAGCCGTCGTTGTCCACATCGTACAAACGGAAGGCCCCTGAAAAGAGACGAAAAAAAGCAGAGAAAAACGCGATTGACTTGTGTTACTGAAATTCCTAAGAAGATACAAAATTCAAAGGTACGCTTTGTTCGGCTGAAAAACCGAGTATTTCTCGTTTCACACACGCTTCTCTCGCGAGCTCGTAAGTTTTATCTCTTCGACGATATCCCATCCACAATCATGACATTCTCGGCGAAAGTAGTACGTTTCATTTTTCACTTTTGTTCAGATTGTGATCGTTCATCGATAACAGTTTTCTTGAGGAGAACAATCGGAAAAGTCCCGTCGTTTATCGTCTCACGTTGCGGCGATCGTCTTTCATTATCTTTCATAAATCGTCTCGAATTTTATATGTAACGATTACCGTATGTAAGTCTTTTGGAAATAAGACTTACGGACGACGCATTAGTCCATCGCTTGATACTTAAGCCACAACAATTTTTTTCATTTTAATATTAATTTAATATTATTCAATCTTTTTTCTCTCATTTGTCTTTTCTATTTTTTTTTTTTTAAATGTAAGAGCAACTGACATCCCTTTCTCGTATCAATTTTAATTTTTTATGTAAATTTACTTAGCAATTAATTTTTTTCTCTTTTCTTAAAAAAGATAAATTGGACTATCTGATTGGATTTAATCGCTTCACGTGAATTAAGCAGAATTATTGACGATTGTTCGCAATGTACTTAACATAGATGAACGAGCAAAGTGCGAGACTCGCGAGAGAATTCATCAAAATTCAAGTAGATAAATTTTTCTAAGGAAATAAGAGGTGAAGCAAGACTCACAGTGAAGCTTTTCGTCCAGGTTTCCGCGCGACGTCACCGAGAGCGCTCTTATGAACTCCTCGAACTCTATCGTGCCGTCCTGAAACAACAGTCCGACGTATCCTTATTTTTGTCGCACGCGAGATGCTCTCTCCTATCGATCGCGGACTATTCGAGGATCACTTTGCGATCGCGTTTCTTCAAAGGCGGGTAGCTAGTCGGTTGCTAGTCTAGCAACCTGTGTCGACCGAGCACACCGAGCAAATAGTTTTTTTTTTTCCCTCTCCCGGGTATTTCGTATTTTCTCTCGGGGTCGCGCAAATCGAATAATCTCGCGAGAGGAATCCAAAGGAAATTTCCATCTCAGATATTTCTCAATATTTTCGATAAAACGTACACGCACGAATATCGCGTTTCGAATACCAATGCTCGCTCGATTTGCATCGGGAAGCGAGCCAAAACAGCCTGATAGACAGCCTTAAACATCGCGGTAATCAATGAGGATCATATTTCGGTTGTGACGCTAGAATTCGTTCAGCGTGCAGTTCGCTACATAAATTAACATTCTATTCTTATCTAACGCCGGACTAAATAAATGTTTAAACGGGCAGTTAAATGGCAATATAGACGTCGCGGAGGGGGAGGGGGGGGGCAAAAAATAATCAGAGTGAGATAGTCGAGAGCACATCGCGTGATCGTCCCTGCACGCGAACCAACGAATTCCCTGCGAATTCGAAAGCACGAGGGAGTTCGCAGAAAACCACGTTTGTATACCGTGACAAGAAACTTACGGCGTTCTCGTCGAAGACTCTGAAGACGAGGGAGGCGAACTTTGACGGGTCACCCTGGGGGAAGAACTGCTTGTAGATCTTTATGAAGCCCTAAAATCACGCGAGCGTCATGTACATCACGAGCTTTTTACTCGCTATTGATTATTGCGGGTGATTAACCTTTTCCTCCGCTATTGTTGTCACGGGACATATGATTAATGTACGTCCCATTCTTGAGTATCACATTCATCGCTATTTATATCAATTTAATTTTTTGCTTCGTGCTGTTTATATTGCAAACAATGTTTTTCTGAACGGGAGGAAAAAGGAAAGGGTTAATATAATTTAAATATATTCGATAATGCGTACCTGTTCTGTTAGCAATCCATCGGGGCAATCCTTGAGGAATCCTTTGTGCCTAATGTAAGATAACTTTTATATTAAATAATTATTTGAAGCACGATTATCTGCTATCAATAATAATTATAAATTACGAAAGAACTCTTTAAATTCCACATCCACTTTAATAGTATTCGATTTAAATTGGTAAATTAATTATTAAAATAAATTTTATTATTAAAATAAATTTTCTCGTGAATTATTTTCTTCAGCAATTATCGGCGGAATCTTTAATCATCCTGTCCAAGTTCGAGCAAGTTCGTATAATTTGCTCATTGCCGGAGTCAAACTTACCATTGACGAATCTCCTTCTCGGTGACTGAAACAGAAACAAGAAGGGACATTTGGAATGGAGAGTAATTAATTATCGTGCGACGTGTGTACAGCGAGATCGAGTTATTCCGCGCGTGAAAAGTGCCCGGCAAGAAAAAGCACGACGGAAAGAGTCGTTGAGAGAGCGAGACGGAGAATTATTGTTCTCCGATGCTCGCCAGGCTCGTATCAACTGGCCGTGTGATTTACTGCACGACGGAATTTACTCGGTAAATTCAGTACGGAGGTACGTGTCACTGAAAAATTGTCCCGTGAAAACGATCAAATTTTTATACGAGTACACGAGTGAGTGGGTGGTCCGAATCGTTTCTACCCAAGGACGTAGAGTAGGGCATTACGTTTTCCTTCACCGTTATTTCGACGGACGTAACACAAAAATTCCGAGTAACGGTGACTGATTAAAAAAGAAAATCCCCGTTCGATAAATTGAATTTGCGCGAAGGGGGAAACCGATATCGCCGCGAAAGACAATCGATAATGGCAATTGTCCCCCTAAGACGGATGAGTGCCGCTGAAATAAGAAAAGTTTTCCTTCGAATCCCTGTATTTAAACGGATGGATTTACTCAATGTTTCTTTTTTATGATCACGATCGGAAAAAACTGGAAAAATAGAAGGGAGATTAGCGTGAATTTCTAAATGTCGAGTTATGCAGAACGTGCTTATCAAAGCGCATTTTTTGATCGGAGGGAACGCGATGCAAAATATTGCTATAGACGTGCGAAAAAGTGCACATGTGCGAAATGGATTTTTTTACACCTCTGAAGTGCGCGTGCTTCAAAGCGAGCGAGAAAATTTTATTTTTTTAGAAAAATATTTTATTGAAATTGCAACTTAATTGATCCACCAAATGGTAGATTACCCTCTAAAGTACACGTGCCGTGAGTAAAGCGCTTTGCTTCGAACGTCAGCTGAACCGAATGTGTTGTGGTAGAACGAAGGAAAGGACAAAGGGTAAAGGGCGTAGAAGACGCGAACGCTCGGGATCGATAGAATTACGAGAGAACATGAAGAGTTTTGTGGTTTATATGGTAATCTTGCGTCGTTCCGAGTATACCATTAGCTTTCGCAAACAGCGCAGCGAAACTTCCCGATTTCATGCGAGAAGAACTCTAACCATCCATCCGGGATATCACGTGATCTCATGCTTGTCTAATCAGGATATTATCCCGATACTTTCGCCTAACTAAATCTTTCCCGTTCTGTGGAACTAAGAAAAATATACGAGAAGTCTCTCGATATCGCGACGCTCCCGGGACAGATTGTTTTCGCGGGATATTTTTGTCTGCGCGAAAAATAAAATCGTTTTTTCATTAAATTGAATTGCGCCTCCTCGGACTTTTGGCAAATCAAGCATCGAATGTCGCGTGTAATCACGCGGAACAGATCGATTGTCGGGCAAGGGCCGATTGTGAGTACGAGAGTGTGCGAAATGATCGTTATTTCGCGGGGTTGACAGGGATTGCCAGATCCGATGGTCGACTGAAATATTCCTATAACCATGCAAATGAGTTCGACGTGGGCGGTTTTGTCGGCGGAACCGTTCGGTCGTATCGACTCCCTCGAGATTTCACGCAACGCCACGGAAAAAGCTTGTTTAAACTTAAATTATCGATACAGTCCAACGCGCAACACGACTGTGAACGTTGGGAAATATTCTCTTCATGTTGCTCTTTTCTTACCGGACTTCTCGTATCGGTCAGTTTTGCGGCAGTTTTGTTAACCGCCAGTTCCGATGATATCTCTCGAGGGATATTAGTCTCGCGTTTATCTCGCAAGTGCGATCGAGCACTTTGCGATTTCCGACATGAAACCATCAAGAGAGTTCATCAAGAGAGTTTGATAACTATATATATGAACGGAACGTATGCAATGAGTCACGCGACTTTGCGAATTCAATTAAAATGAAAATTCTCTCGCGAAAATTTTCACGCGATTGATTTGTGGTGGATATTCGGAGCGACACGCCGGAACTGACACGTCGTTCTCCCCGTTTAATTATTCGCGTAGCAAAGTTGCCAGTAGCAAACTGAGGCCGTTTCATAGCCTGTTCAAACGTTTAATTTTCGCGAAGCATAAAAATACTACCTCGACCGCAGTGCTTGTGTACCTACGTGAATTATACGTTTTGCAAACGTGTGAGTTGTCGTGCGAACGCTTTTGATACACTCGAATCTGCTAATTGCTTCCAAGTCATCAGGCTTAATTGGGCGTAGTTACTGGACTTAGGACCGATCGAATTGTACCGAGTTGTGTGTTCTTGTACGACTTAATTCACTTTCATTACTTTCCGTCTTTCTCGCATTTAAATCCCTCGATATCTTCTCCGCTGCGAATTTTTTTCTCAAATAGAAAAACAAATATACTCCGAATAATACGATTCACTTTATTCGTGTTAATTTGTACAAACACGAAGCGAGGATTAGTCGCGACATCGAGAATGTCGTGGTATTTATCATTTAAATATGAAATTACTTTACCGCAGTACGTGCGCATTTAATTGTTCTACTGAAAATCAATTGCACAATTGCATTGTAGAGAATGCAAATTTTAGGAGATATTGTGTAAAGCATTAAACATACTGTTGGCTATACGCTATTGCGTTACATATTACATTGTGCATTTCAATGATCGATCATATAGTGAACGTTGCAAAGCTATATAAAAGATTGTAAAAGATGATAAAAATAGCGAATAGCGATTTGTTTTTAATTGCAATGCTTCAATCAAGAGCATTTTGAGAATTATAGTGACGATTGTGTGCGCATTTTAGAAAACGATCAAAAAAGATTTGTGAATATTTATTTTCATTCTAAAATATTAATGACAACGGATAAAACGGGTGAGTTAAAAATTGTATCCCTTAAAAATGAGAGTTAACTTTTAAATGAAAACTTCTGTCATAATTATCAACTTAATTTCTTCAAGATGCCATTTATTAAGTTTCTGCTCTTTCATTTGCCATTTATCATCTCATTTGCCAACGGAAAATGAGAAAATAACTCAACGTAGTTTAATTTCTCAAGACTTTTAGTTAAAAACTGGTTTTCCTCCGTTTCGCACGGTTCAGAAAATAGTGTGTGGACAGTAGATTTTTAAATTTCTTTAAATATGTTCTCTCGTTATTTCGCTCATACAAATATTTTCCCATTTCTCTTTCTCTTTTCATTCGGTAATAACCTCCGGGAGCTACTTTCCTCAGGCACATTTTCCATTGCCACAAGCACAAGTTTTTCTAATCTGCGGCTCAACGACACTCGTAAGAGAGAAAACTGTCGCACTAAGAGGTAGGAGGAGGGGGTCGTCCGTCGCAGAAATTCAGTGATATTGCTGTCACCACCTCTGTCGTTACATGTTAACGTAATCTCAGCTTATTTTCCAGCGGTTGAGTCAGATTGGCGTTTTTTTCCTGCCGCCCGTCTCGTCCGCGTACACCGCTCATCCCGGTGATAAAGTCGAAACTGTCGAATCAATCGACGCGTGCTTGGCAAAGCCGACGCGATATTCCTTCGCTTACAAATACATTTCATATTCGCACGTCATATTTTCCGTTCGCGGTGTGTTTCGGAAAAGACGCGCGTGCGAGTGACGCGACCCGACGGCGAGTGCAAATCGCGTCGGTTTGCCAAATATCGGAAGGATTTGCGTCGGGGCTCGATGAATTTTTAAACAGCATATAAAACAGATGTATAAACGCGCAATATTGCGCGGCTGCATTCAGTACTCTGAGAGAGAGAGAGAGAGAGAGAAACACGAGGCTGTGTTTAATCGCATGCCGTAAGTACGATGCACGAGTCTTGAATTAATGCCGCGGAGCTCGGCTTCCCTCATGCTTCGCCGTTATTCAAATTTGCTGTTTCACCAGGGGAATGCTTGCCAACCGACTGTCAGGCCGGGTACGAGGCATTTATCAAAATGACTGCTTTAAACACGGCTATTCTTATTTTAGGGACGCAGACGTTTACACGCGGCGTTGTGTCATCTTCTCAGATACATGTATTACTCGCGCTTTATTTCTTTCGCAGGTAAATAGATAACCGATGTATGATGTACTATTTAAAGAATGGAACTATGACTCTCGCAAAACTCGAGTTTTTACTAATAAAAATATATCAATATATTTATAATAATATATTATAAAGATGTATTAAGTGAATAAAAGTTAAATAAATAAATAATCAATTTTTTAATTTGGTATTCATTAGATATTTCAAATTCATTAAATGTACAGATAGTTATATATTGCTTTTCAAATATTTTAAATAGAAAAGCTAACATTTCGCGATAATTCGAATACTGATGAAATTTTTATAGGGCTTTCAGAAATATGACACTTTTACGAAATATATCATTTTTATTCGCAATTTATGAGATACAAAAAACAAATGTATAAAAATAATGTTCGTAAAAATAGAATTAACTTGAGATACTTTAATTTGTGGAGTTCCAAGTCCATTTAATCATTCGAAATGGTGGTATCAGTAGTATAAAAGAAAAAGCAGAGGGCAGAGAGTGAAGCCGTAGGAGTGCGCCTTTTCAAATAGTTGCTCCGAAAACTCATCTCGATATATACCGCCTTTATCCCACGAGAACGCAATCTCTTATTTTCCCGGTGAAGGCAAGGGAATCCCCGTCGCCGACTCATTGCTGAATTCCGATTGATCGATCGGCCCGATCCTCTCGAATAAAATACATCCCGTAGCTCGGAAGCCAGCGCTCCTCGAGCTATGCGCGAGTTTTATTAGCTAGTCGGTCGGATAATAGCAAAAAAAAATTGTACGAAAATTTGCGAAAAAAACACTTGATCTGATAGCGATCCATTTTTCACGAACCCGTTCTCTCTATTCCGATGGATGCGGGATAACGTAGGCATTTTCTTTTTGCTTTTGACCTCGAGTCGATTGTCTCTCTCGGTGTATTTCTCGCAGACCACGCTGTTCTTTACGAGCGGAAGTGGCGGCGGCGAAATAAAAGAAGCATAAAAACTTTTGCAAGGAAAACCAGTTCCGATC